TACTGATTATGAATAGTGTATAATGTTGCGTGGCCATGCGATTTTGGAATTCTGAAGTCTTAATAATTAAATCTGGAGGATTTCTGCCAAAAGCTGCTAGGTTCCGAGATTTGTTTCTGAGTCTCTGGGATCATGGCTTAAGCCGCTTTTTGAGTAGCCAGAGAGCCCGTTCATGGGTGGCGACTTGGGGTCTCTTTGGGGCGGGGGAGGAAAGGGCCAGCCCCACCCCCATCCCATGAGGCCACGCGTGTGTCGTCACTGCAGGCCCCTTCCTGGCTGTCCAATGGCCTCTGGAAGATGGAGGACCCTGAGCTGCCAGGGGGAACAGGCAGTGGATCGTCACCTTTTCCCACCTGGGGAGGCCTGGGACCAGTAATCTAATGTGGGGTCCAGACACATTTCTGCCAAAAGCTGCTGGGTTTATTTTATTTTTAAAATTTTTGAACTACTCCCAGTGTCTGCTGACTTTGAACTAAGGGACCATGCCTGGAGGGTTGAAGTGGGGGCATGGATGGGGACTGGCATTTGTCATGTCGGATTCAAACAAGTTAGTCTCGCACAAGGCAAGTGCCCTATCCATTGTAACAGGAACACTGTCATGCCCCCAATATCTCATATTTCAAAATGGAATTAAATGTTTTGGATATGTTCAGTTTATTTAAATTAATTTTTTAATGGTGACTGTAAATTAGTACCATATTTAGCATCACCTAAATTAAAATTTAGAAAACTAAAAATAAGCACTTTGGCATGAAACCATTATAAGTACGGGAATTTTTTTCCTTCCATATGTTATCACTTTGGTAACTGTATAATTATTAAATATTTGTGTAAATTTTCTTTGGGTTGGTCAGGAAATAGTTTATTCCTTACTGATGTTATAGCAGGTATGTCACCAACTCTTCAGATCTGAAATTGATTTTTCCATGCTATGTCTAATGCTTTCTTAAATAAATTTTCAAGCTGAGCAACATTTTGAGTAAAATGCACAGATCTTAACCATATATAGCTAAATGCATTTTGTAAATGTAATGTTTTTATTCCAGTTAAATATTAAAAGGCAAACTTTTTTTCAAGGTTGGATTGCAAATGTTATTAAATTTAAGTGTATAATGGAAATAGGTAGGGCCGGAGAGATAGTAAAGGAGTTAAGATGCCTTGAATGTGTCCAATCTGGTTAGATCCCTCATACCACAGGGTCCTTGTGGCTTCAAAGCCCAAAAGAAAAGAAGAAAATATGAAAAATTTGAACAAATGAAAAATTCTGAAGGGTTGGAAAATAACGTGAGATTTGCTCTGCTAGATAGTAAACCATACTGCAGAATATTTAGTACTGTCCTCCCATTGTTAATCGATTTGCTTGAGCGGGCCCAGTAATATCTCCATTGTGAGACTTGTTACTGTTTTTGGCATATTGAGTACGCCACAGGAAGCTTGTCAGGCTCTGCCGTGCGGGCAGGATACTATCGGTAGCTTCCCAGGCTCTCCGAGAGGGATGGAGAAATCGAACCCAGGTCGGCCGTGTGCAAAGCAAACGACCTACCCGCTGTGCTATCGCTCCAGTCCACAGAATACTTACATGAATTAAAATATATTAAATAGGTTCCAGAGTAGTGATACTAAATGCTGTTATTTTCAACTGGGTAACCGATTGGGGAAAAAAGAGAAAAAAGTGTGGTTTTTATTTATGTACTCAGTATTAAGTATAAATAATTTATTTGTATATACTCAGTAATTATGATTTCATAGACTTTTGTACTTTTGTTTTATTTAGAATATAATTTCTGAGAGTCTATCTGAAGAGTAAATCCATCTTAATAAACTTGTAATTATGTAAGCATTACCCAGACAAAATATAGAACCTTTTTTTCACTCCATAAAGTTCCTTTACCAGACACTCTGTTTTGATTTCTTATTTTTCTTTCTTGAATTTCTACATTTTTATTTTAGGCACTGTGATTTATGAATATTGTTAATGACATGGTTTCATTCTGTATGCTGTATGTATTCCAACACCACATTCTCCATTGTTTGATTCCTCTCCTCCCAGTTTTTTTGCTACTATTAGAATGTCATATATATATGTGTGTATGTATGTGTGTATATATATGTATATATGTATATATGTGTGTATATATATATTAATATATATATAAAATCATATGGCACAAAGTGGCGAACTCCCAGCAGTGCCTGCCAGAGGTGGGTGCCTGGAAGACTGCACCAGTGTTGAACTCCAGGCATCTGCATGTGAAGCATGTCTTCAGTCCTTATAACGGTCTCCTTGTTCCTGTTATTTTTATGTCTAGCTTCTTTCTCAACCAGATGTTACTGTGATTCATCCATTTTTGAAAAATTATATAGTTTTTTTCTGTTTAGTGTCTAATAATCAGTTATAAATCTACATCCTTTTTTCCTCTTTTATTTAGTTATTTATTTAATTTTAACTTCACCTGGAGATGGTCAGGGGTTTATCCTGGTTCTGCACTCAGGAATCACTCCTGGCAGTGCTCCAGAGATCATATAGGATACCCAAGATCTGACCCAGGTCGGCCAGGTGCAAGACAAGAGCCTTACCTGCTGTACTATCTCTCCACCATATTTTAAAACTCAGTCTTTAGTTTATGAAATTAAGATTACCATTTTCATACTACTATGAGATTATGTTGCTAAATCTTCAAATTTTTCTTGTATTTTAATGGTTTCTAGTTAATTTTTTCATTGACAGGGAACATATTTAGTTAGGTTTTAATCCTTCAAAATGTATTAAGAATTGAGCCTTGCAAATGATCTGTCTTCCTCAGTATTCTTTGTATAGCTGAAAAGGATTTGAATTATGCACTTTCTTTTATCTGAAAATAGCATTTTATATTCATACATGAAGTACATTTTTGCTGGATGTAATTGAATTATGGATTCTGTCATCGCTTAACGTAGTTTTTACTTTCTGTCATCACTTAACACTTAGTTTTTACTGTCTTCTTGCTCTTCATTGCTTCTGATGAGAAGTTAAAATCGTGTGTGGTTGTGTTCCTTTTCAGAGGTATCATTTTTACCATTTGCTTTCAGGCTTTCAACTGTCATTGACTTTGGTTTTCAGCAGTTTCTTTTTCTTTTTTAAAATTCTATTATTCATTTATTTTGGTTTTGGAGGCATACTCAGTGCTCAGGGCTTATTCCTGGCTTTGCACTCAGCAATCACTCCTGGCAGGCTAGGGGAACCATATGAAATGCCGGGGGATAAACCCAGGTCAGCCATGTGTAAGACAAACACCCTACATGCCGTACTGCTGTGCTGGCCCCTCAGGAGTTTGATTCTAACATATATCATTTTGTATTTGTCCGGCTTATGTTTCAGTGACTCACTTGAATTTTTGAAACACAGCATTTCTACAAATTGGTAATTACCAACCATGAGTTGATTCTTCAAGTACATTTTTAAAAAATCTGCTACTCTACTTATATGTTAAATTACTTAGTGTGCAATAGGTCACTAAGGTGCTTTTTTAGCAGTCATCTGCGAGCATTTTTTCCCTTGTTCAGATTTATAGATTTTCTGTTATTTGTCTTCAAGTTTATTTACCCTTTATTTTGCGCTCTCTAATCTGCTTTTAAGTCTACCCAGTGTGTTTTTAACTTCAGATACTGTATTTTGACCTTTAATAAAGTTTTTTTAAGTATGTTAACATACTACAGAGATTTTCCATTGTATTTTATAATTGTGATCATCTTTTCCCTGAAATGTTTATAAAAACCCATTTTAATTTTTTTTTTTGTGCAAATTCCAACGTCATTCGGAAGTTCAAATCTACTGACCAGGGTAGTTTTTGATCATGATTCACTAAACATACTGTTCCTTTGAATAGTGAATACCTCTTAATTGTATAATGAAAATAGTGGGTGATACTCTGGAGGAGATTCTAGATTTAATTTGATTTGATTTGATTTGATTTTGTGAAGAGTTTGGAGTTTTATTTTATAAGGCATGTATATATGCCTATATTCCCCCTCCCTTGATATTTGTGTTGAAGTGGTGACAGGGTGCTACACACATATCTGACTGTGAGGTTCACTAGGGATTGCACATGGGTTTGGGTTGCCGGTACAGTCCATCACAGCCAGTTGCCGCAGGTTTGCTCTTCCTCTGGTTGTGATGCTTGCTGTTGCTTACTGGGGCTCACAGCGTAATTGAGGAATATGAGTTACGTTGTGCTCACTGGGGCCGCTGTAGTGCTCACATGTGTACTGAAAGGTTAACACATCCTGCCTGGGTGCTTGCACATGGTTGTTGTGCTTGCCAGAATTGCTCTTTTTCTTAGGGTACTTAGACCCCGGGGGCTTCAGTGTGGCCAGATCCATTGCAGCACCAGAGCCCGGTCTACACAACTGCCATAGAAAGCAAAAAAAAAAAAAAAAAATTACTGACTGATTATCCTGACTTTGTTTAGCTTTTATTTTACATTGAGTTAGGAAGAAACTGCCCCCCCCCCCCCCCCGCCCTTCCTGCAATGGGCAGCCACTGAAGTCTCTGTTTAACTCATTAATCTTTAGTGGTTGTTTTCCACCAGGCTCCCACACATGGGATCTTGTCCCTTTGTTTCCAGTTGTTTGGAAGCAGGAAGTGCTGTGTTCTGATGACTCAGGCTACTCAAAGTTCTTGCCACTCTCTGATTGCTGGGACCTCCCAGTGTGTAAAAGTCATGTAAATGTAGATCTCTCTTCCCAGGGGCTCCATTAGTCAGTTTCTTACCTGCTTTTGGTTGCTCTTCAGTGCCTATTTAAAATCATTTATTTCTATATTTTGTTTAGTTTATCATAGTTTTATTTATTTATTTTTTTAGTTTAGTTTATCATAGTTTTATATGGGAGGGCTAGTCCTATCAAAGCTCTGTCACTGGACTTGGAATGCCAGCTCTTTAATTCTATAAAACTTTTTAGATTCAGTGGTTAATATATTCCTTTTTCTGACCTTATCCCTTCTCTCCTATCTCTATTCATAGGTATGAAGAGAAAGCTGCTAAAGACTTTGAGCGATATAATAAACAAATCAACAAAGCCACAGAACAGGAATCACAGGCACCATTAAAGGAGGGCAGAAAAAAGATCAAACCAGCCAGTGTGTGGAATTTGGCACACAAGCAAAAATTGAAAACTTCATTATCAAATCAACCAAAACTTGATGAACTCTTTCAGTCCCAAGCAGAAAAAAGAAAGAATCAAAACATTAAAATAGTACAGGTCTCCTTTTCTATGGAAAACTTAAAAAAGCAAATTGAGAAACACAAAAAGTCTGACTTAGAAGAAAAAGGTGAATTTTATTTGGTCCACAATCTCAAGTTTCTTGATGCTTGGCTAATTACATCCAAAACAGAGGTAATGTTATTAAATCCTTACAGAGTGGAAGAAGCTCTGCTTTTCAAAAGACTTCTTGAGAACCATAAACTTCCTGCAGAACCACTGGAAAACCCAATTATATTAACAGAGAGGTATAGTGAAGTAATAAACTTCTTTTTTTTAAAAACCGGAAAACATTAATAATCCATAATAGATTTGAAGTTAAAGGTAAAAAGTTGAAAGTCTTTCATGATAGGGAAAAATGGTATTTATTTAAAGAATTCATTTTAAAACTTGATTTTTAATCTCCAGTTATGGGTTGGGCTCAGTTTCTACAAGAATTCTAGTGCATACTGCATAGTTTACCTCCATGTTGAATAATTTTGATATCTATAAAATACTTTCCTTTTTTTTTTTTTTTTTTGGATCACACCCGGCGATGCTCAAGGGTTACTCCTGGCTCATGCACTCAGGAATTACTCCCGGCAGTGCTCGGGGGACCATATGGGATGCTGGGAAACGAACCTGTGTCGCCCATGTTGGCTGCGTGCAAGGCAAACGCCCTACCCGCTGTGCTATCGCTCCAGCCCCTCTGTAAAATACTTTGAACTTAATAATAATAGAAGTGGCTATTTATATTTTCTATAAGGTAAGGTAAAGGTAAAGGCCCTCCCGTTGATCGTCGATTTGCTCGAATGGGCCCAGTAACGTCTCCATTGGAGACTTTGTTGTTACTGTGTCTGGCATATCGAATACTCTCGGTAGCTTGCCGGGCTCTCCGAGAGGGGCGGAGGAATCGAACTCGGGTCGGCCATGTTGGCCGCTTGTAAGGCGAACGCCCTACCCGCTGTGCTATTGCTCCAGCCCTGTATATATGATTGAAATTTTGTTAAGCTTTTGTCTTATCTCCCAACAACTTGATTGAGAGATAGATACTATCATTATGTTTTATCGTGATCATATTTTATTTAGGCACCTTGATTTACAGTACTGTAAATATTAATGTTGCTATATAACACCACCAGAATATTAGGCCCCTCTCACACTCACATACACACATACCCATCCTTACTTAGCAGACCTAGTTCTATAGGCAGATTCCCAGGGTCTGTTATATTGACTGTTGTGTATTCCCTTATTATATTTCTTGCATAGCAGGTAGGGCATTTGCCTTGCATGCAGCCAACCCAACCTACCCAGATTCAATTCCTCCACCCCTCTCGGAGAGCCCGGCAAGCTACTGAGAGTGTCTCGCTCACACGGCAAAGCCTGGCAAGCTACCTGTGACATATTCGATATGCCAAACACAGTAACAACAAGTCTCACAATGGAGATGTTACTGGGCCTGCTCGAGAAAATCGAACAACGGGAGACAGTGACGGTGATATTCCACATATGAGAGAGATCATTTTGTAGTTCTCCTTTTCCCTTTGACTTATTTTGCTCAGAATAAATTGTTCATAGTATTCTCATACAGTCTTTTGAATTTTTGTGGTTCTATTATAACTTCTCCCTTTTCATTTCTGATCAGATTTATTAGAGCTTTCTTTTTTTCTTTTGAGTTTAGCCAAGGGCTTGTCTTACTTATTCCTTGTACAGGGAACGGCGGGGAGGAGGCAACTATTAATTCCATTTATCTTTTTGTATTTGTGGAACTTCAAAAAATTGATTTCCACTTCATTTTATTATTTCCCTCCTTTGCTACTTCTGAGCTCCCTTTATTCTAGTTTCTACTATCTTAAAATGTGTGGTTAAGTTATTTGGGTCTTTTCTTATCTTTTGAGAAACACTTGTATTACTATGAAATTCCATCTTAGAACAGCTTTTGCTGTGTCCCAATGTTCTCATAACTCCTGTCTTCATTCTCATCTATTTCCCAGAATCTTTTGGTTTCTTTAATTTCCTCTTTGACCTACTGGTTGTTCGGTAGTAGTAAGTTGTTTGGTATCTAGTGTCTTTGAGTTTTCTGATTTTTTTGTTTTTGTTTTTGATACTTCATATATATATTTTTTGTATGTGCCCCAATGTGTGTGGTCTGTCTTGAAGAATGTCATGTGCATTGGAAAAGAATGTGTAGTCACTTTTTGGAAAGCTCTCTAAAGATCTGTTAAACCATTTCTTCCTTGAAGAAAAATGGTTCCTTGTTGTTTTGCCTCGTGACTCTGAATAGTGTGAGTTTGGGGTGGGAGTATTGGACAGGTTAAGAGCCCCTACCACTATTGTGTTGCTATTGCTATCATTCCCCAGTCTCCACAGTGGCTTTATATACTTCGATGGTGCTTCATTTGGTGCTTATACATGCTTAACATATATGTTAAGTATAATGAGTATTGTCTTTGTGATGTATAGATTCATTGGTCATTGATCATTGTTCATCACTTGCTTTTATGATTATTTTCTGGCTTATACTTTAAACCTGTGATTTCAGACTATTCACTTCAATATCTTGTAAGCAGCAGAAAGTTGAATTTAGTCTTCTAAAATTTGTGGCTACTATATCCCTTTTGATTGGTGAATTCAGGCTATTGATGTTAGACAAGATTACAAAATAAAGGAATATATTACCATCATTTTGTATGGATCATGAGTGTTTGGGAAGTTTGTCTTTGCTTCTTTAACCATCTTTTATTTTCTTGCCTTCTTCTTATGTTGTCTGCCTTTCATAAAGTAGTCAGGTTCCAGATGCCTCTTTTTACTTGGGAACACTAATTATGTTTCCTTTGAGATTAACATATTGTTTACCTATATCCCAGCCTTTTAAGTGTTGTACATAGCTATTTTACCTCTTCTCCTTTCTCCTATTTAATGTTTTTTAGTTTCTTACTTTTCCCAAGTAGAGTTTCTTTGCCGTTGTAAGACCATTTAGTGTGTCTTTCAGTTTGTTTAATGCCACAGGCTTCATTAGCAGTTGCTTTGTCTCACTTCAATCTGATAATTTATCTGGATAGAATATTTATTTGGGGGCCGGAGCTATAGTACAGCGGGTAGGGCATTTGCCTTGCATGCGGCTGATCCAGGTTCAGTCCCCAGCATACCATATAGACCCCTGAGCACCGCCGGGAGTAATTCCTGAGTGCAGAGCCAGGAGTAACCCCTGTGCATCGCCGGGTGTGACCCAAAAAGCAAAAAAGAATATTTATTTCTAGTTTGTTGTTTTGTTTTGTGGACACATACCACTGTGCTTAGGGCTTACTCCTGAGAGTGAATTGGTGCCATTATGTTGCCCAGGCAAAGTCCTTGACCCCATCATATCTTTCTGGCCTCTGGTATTCTTACTGGGATGTTTATTTCATCCCACTTATTTGCTATGTCTAGTCATTCTCTTCTGACCTGTAGGGTTTCATTTAGTAGATCAACTTTTAAGACTTAGGTGAATTCCTTTGGATATAAATTTCTTTTGTGGTCTTGCTGCTCTGTTTTCTCTGTCTTTGGATTTTGCCATACAGTGTATGTCTTGGAGTTCTCTGGTTTTATTTTCTTTAGAACTCATTTAGCTTTTTGGATCTGGGTCATTGAATCTGCAGATTGGAGAATTCCTCAGCTGTAATTTCTTTGACAGCTGATCCTTATTCTCTTCTTCCTCTATAAGGAGATCCTATCCAATATTGTTCCTCTTAAAATTATTCCAAGCGTTTGTTTTTCACCATGCATTTTAGTAGACTATTTAAATTTGTTTATTTTGCATCCAGTCTCTGTCTAGATTTGTAGTTCAAATTAGCACTGCCTCTGTGATTCACACACCCAGTGTTCTGTTGCCACAGTCTTTAAGTTTGGCAGCTAACACACCAGAACTAACTTTATTTTTTGGATCAAGTTTCTTTTTGAGTCTCAGCAAATGCCTACATTCAGATATGCTTTGTGGGGAGGATATTCCCAGCATCCCATATGGTCCCCTGAGCACTGCCAGGAGTAATTCCTGAGTGCAGAGCCAGTAGTAACCCCTGTGCATCGCCGGGTGTGACCCAAAAAGCGAAAAAAAAAAAAAGTTACAGAAACTGTTTGCACACTATTACCACCAAGGACTCTCAGATGGATTTTCTTAATGTTGCTGAGCACAGCCAGAGCACATCAGATAGACGGCCAATGTCCTTTCAGTGGTTTGATCTCACTAGTCAAGACCTCAGTGTTTTAGAGGTGATAAGTGGTATCACTTATTTGTTCACTTTTTCAAGGGATGCAAGATTTTAGAGAACAGCATTCTGCACTGGAACATAGAACAGAGCTTTGTATGCAAGACTTATTTATCCTGTATGTCAATGAATAGGAAAATGGTAACCATTCATGTTAATACAATAGATGCCTTTAACTGACCATTGAATTAACTTTTTACTGTAGATCCTTATTTCACTTTATAGATACATGCTATGTATTTTATATATAGGTATGTTTTATATATATATTTAAAAATATTTTTATAAGCTAAAGAACCATAATTTTTTTTGCAGTCTTTTTAATGGATCTCATTATTTAGAGATTTTACATAAGATGACAACAGACGACCAAAAGTTTGGTGTACCAACTTACCTCTCTGATCCTCGTCTTACAGCAAATGGTTTTAAGATAAAATTGATTCCAGGTATGTTAATGTTGTTTAATACTCATCTTTTTTTCCCCAATAGCATTGCTTTGATTACTTATTCAACAAATAATTGTGAAGTGTGTCAGGCATTAGTCTTGCTATGGAAGTGGTAAAGAATAGAGCAGGCAAAAGCCTACACCCTCCACAGAATATGATTTCTAGTGGGAGCAGATGTAATAAACAGGCAACTTTTGTAGCCCACAAACTAGATGACAGTAAATGCTAAGGAAAAAGGGAAGGGAACTAAGGAGTGTTGTGAAAGCTATTCTATGTAGGATTGTCAGGGAAGACTTTGCAGATAAGGTGACTTTGGCAAGAGGCTGGAGGAGATGTATCGGGCTGTACCTGGCTTTATCGGGGGAGGGGGGATACTCCTGGCTCTGTGCTCATAGGTTGATGCTTCTGAAGGTGTTTGGGGGCCGTTGCACCCTGAAGATCTAACAGGGGTTGGCATCATGCAAAGTGCCTTCATGAATATTAAGTATATAATATTCATCAAAAGTACAGTGTCTGACCAAGAGATAGTACAGGAGGTAAGACACTTGCTTTGCTGTGGCTGTGACTCTGATTCATGTTCCCAGCTCCATTTATGTCCTTGAACACCATCAGGACTACCAAAAACACAAGGGGAAAAGTGTCATTTGTGTGAAAAGTCATGTATTTTCAAAAAAACTTAACTGCATGGAACAGTTGAATTTAGCATCTCTTTTGGTCTGTTTTCTTCCAATTTCTTTATTTTATATTAAGTTTCACCATATTTTCCCAATATTCAAACTATTTTCTTTATTATTCCTTTAGATAGTGAAACAGATAAATACATAAGATGTAGGAACTGCTTAGCAAATATGGACCTCTTTGGATCAGAGACATAGTAGAGCAGTAGGGCACTTGCCTTGCATCTGACTGAACGGAGTTCAGTCTCCAACACCACATATGGCCCTCTGAGCATATATATTTGTCACTGTCACTGTCCTCCCGTTGTTCATTGATTTGCACGAGCGGGCCCAGTAATGTCTCCATCATGAGACTTGTTGTTACTGTGTTTGGCATATTGAATAGGGGCTGGAGCGATAGCACAGCAGTAGGGCGTTTGCCTTGTGCACAGCCAGCCTGGCTCGATTCCTCTGCCCCTCTCGGAGAGCCCGGCAAGCTACCCGCGATGTATTCAATATATATGTACTGTAACACTATCCTCGAGCGGGCACCAGTAACGTCTCCATCGTGAGACTTGTTACTGTTTTTGGCATATTGAATACATATTGAATACACGGGGAGCTTGCCAGGCTCTGCTGTATGGGTGAGATACTCTTGGTAGCTTGCCAAGCTGTTCGAGAGGGGTAAAGGAATTGAACCCGGATCAACTGCATGAAAGGCAAACACCCTACCCACTGTGCTATTGCTCCAGCCCGAGCATATATATATATTTATTTATATATATATACATATATATATAAAGAAAAAGGAGAAGAGATCTTTTCTATGAAAAAAGAATTTCAATTTTATATATTCTATTCTGTGCCTTTTGATTCCATTTTAATTCTCTGTGGAAAAAAATGTTGCTTTTAACTTCTTTAATTTTTACTTATTAACTCAGATTCACAACTGCAAAATTTGTCTCTTGTGTTGCTACTCAAATTTCTGCTCAGTTTTTGTCTTTTCTTGAGAGGTTTTTTCCTCTGATCTGTACATCAGCACCTTAGGTACTAGTAAAATAGTCACATAATTTGTATGCAAAATTTATTGTAATGTTTCCACCACCCTTGCATTCTAGTTTTTTTATTTTATTTTTCTTAATGTATGTATATACTTGCCACCTTAAATTTTCAGTTATTCTAATTATTTCAGACTCTTCTAACTCTGACAGTCAGGAAGATGTCAAGTTTTCAACTGGAGTTTTTGTATAGTTTCTGGTGAGGAGTCATACCCAGAAGTGCTGAGGAGTCCAAGGCCCCATGGTTCTGCTTGGGGAGCTGAGTTGGGGTGTCTGGGAGAAGGAGCATGCCATATTTTGATTAATTGGATTGGGTTAATCCCAGTCCTCCTGCAAGCAAAACAATTACTCCAGTCTATTGAGCTCTTTCTCTCTCTGACCCATTGGTTGGATTTTCAGCTACTCCTTGCTAGTCATGCCTCAAGCTAGAAACTAAAAACTACCCCATTCCATTTTTCCTTCTAAAACATCCTTCGAAAATGTGCTTTCATTTTCGTACTCCTCATGCATTCATGAAATTTTCATAAAAGTGAAAATACTAACTTTTTAATAATGTAAAATATTCTATGTGGGGATTTTAGTTTGAGCTTTTTTTTTTTTTTTGGTGTGTGTGTGGTTTTTAGTTTTTCTGCAAGAGTGCTAGTCCATTATGAACCCATTTCAGCATAGTATTGCCATTCACTGTATCACTGTCATCCCGTTGTTCATCAATTTACTCAAGCGTGTGCCAGTAACATCTCTATTCATCCCAGCCCTGAGATTTTAGCAGCCTCTCCTTACTCATCTTTCCCAACAATTGGAGGCTCTTTCAGGGTCAGGGGAATGAGATCTCTTATAGTAACTGGTTTTGGCATATTGAAGCTTGCCAGGCTCTGCCCGTGTGGGCAGGATACTCTCGGTAGCTTTGCTGGGCTCTCTAATAGATATATATATCTGAACTCCATCAAATGGTGTGGTAATTATGGAAAATGGGTAGGAAGTATCTTATGATGTGTCTGGAAAGCGGCTGAAGCGTGTCAGCGGCTGGGTATTGGAGGTTGACTGCAGGGCTAGGTCCCTTGGAGCAGAGAGGGCTCCCACTCAACCCCCTCTGGGGCACCCAGAGTGAGAACAGCAGGAAGTGCCAGTATTGCCACTGTCAATTAAAATTCAAATCCCTTATGATAATATGTAAGAATTAGCAGAACTGACTCTTCTCCTTCCCATATCACATCTTAACCATTCTCTCATTTGTTTATACCTCTATAATCACAACTGGCCTACTATAGATATTTCAAATTAGTTCTCCCTTGGGTTCTTTGTACTTTTTTTTTTTTTATATTTCTGATCCCAACTCTTCTCTAGCATGACTGTTCATTTTCATTAAATATTTCACATGTCAAAAAAGTCAGAATCTACATTTCTCATTGCTCTAAAATTTGCATTTGTATGTTATATACATTTTCTTTTCTTTTCCTTTTTTTTATTGAATCACCGTGAGATACAATTATAATGCTTTCATGTTTGAGTTTTGGTCATACAATAATCAAACACCCACCCCTTCACCAGTGCACATTTTCCACCACCAAAATCCCCAGTATCCCCCCTGCCAAACCCCAAACCTTCCCTGTCTATGTGGCAGGCAGTTTCCACACTATTCTCTCTTTACTTTGATTACATTCAATATTTTGACACCAGTCCCACCCTTATTACTTGGAATTTTCCCACCACCACTCAAAGCTGCCAAAAAGGCAATGCTAGAGAATTTATTTTGTATTGCTTATATGAATAGGATATAATGTTGCGCAGTCTCAAGAGCGGCCTTGCGCTTCTGAAATTCTAAAATTTTAATAATCATGGTCTGGAGAGATCTATGCAGCGAGCTGCTTGGTTCCGCAATTCGTTTGTGTGTCTCTGGATCATGGCCATTTAGGAGCTTAATAAGTAGCCGGGCAGCATTTTGTGGGCGTCATCTCAGAGTCCCATCAAGCTGGGTATTATATACATTTTCAGCTCGACTCTAGATGGTGGGTGATAATGTCAGATATTTTGGAATCTTTTATCCAAAAACCATAGGCAAAAGAGAGCTTATTTTGCCGATTCATATGTGACACCAGCAGTGTTATTATTTGGAGAATGTAATTATTCCATGGCTTATTCTAAAAAGACTTAGTAACAATTTGTTTAGTGTGGAAAGTTAATGGGTGGGGAAGAAAAACAGAAAATCCATTTGGCTAGGAAATTTTTGTTTTCCTGGCTGGACCCTCATGTGTTCGTTCATAGTTTCCATACTTAACAGCCCTCTGCTCAAGCTTTCTTAGCTGATCTTTACTACATTCCCTTCATCTGGTGAACAGGAACACAAGGGGACCATAAAGTATGATTCCACTGTCCCCACTGCTAGCCCTCTAATAAAGAACAAAGTCTAGAAAAACAAAGCCCAACCACAAAATAGTGCTGAAAATGTTTAAAGGAATTTTTTACTGAGACATGGAAAAAAAGTGAGAACAATGTAGAAAAGCATGGAAGTGAGCATTACTGAAAATGTCTTGTTCTAGATATCAAATAATTTTCATTGATTTTCAGTTATAAGGGTACTTATCCTGAGAGTCTTACCTCTTGCCTTAGTTCTAGAATAAAATCCAAATCTCAGTGCTTTCATTTAAAAAATAAAGTGTTCTTAGGAAAGCAAGCTGGTCAGTGTTTCCTCATTGATAGTGACTAATAATTTACCAAATGATAATTATGTGTAATTTATTTTATAATAACCCTATGAAGAAGATTCTATTACTGTGTCCCATTTTTCAGATAGGAAAATAAAACAGAGGGAAGATATCTTTAAAGGCACAAAATTAAATTGTAGAACCAGAACTTTAACCTAAGCAGTCTGCTTTTATTACCTAGGTCTTAATTTGTTATATTACTTCCCTACATAAATTAAGATATTTATTTCTGGAGGGCTGGAGCGTTAGCACAGCGGGTAGGGCATTTGCCTTGCACCTGGCCCACTCGGCCAACCTGAGTTCAATTCCTCTGCCGCTCTCGGAGAGCCCAGCAAGCTTCCGAGAGTATCTCTCCCGCATGGCAAAGCCTGGCAATACCTGTGATGTATTCGATATGCCAAACACAGTAACAACAAGTCTCACGATGTTACTGGGCCCGCTCAAACAAACTGATAAACAATGGGAGGACAGTGTTACAGTGCTATTTATTTCTGAAAGTTGTGGTGAATGTAAAATGAAGGATTTATATAATGTAGTTAGCATCATGCTTGATAATGGTAGGTGTTCTAATTTTTTTCCCTTATCTACCATCTTTCCTTTCTAACTTCAACTGACTTGTGGTCATTTCTTTCAATCCTGCTAGAAATCTTCTTCCTTAAGATTCCTGGCATCTCTAATTTATTTGCAGTATAAAGCAAGAGTTGTATGTGTATGTGTGCATCAAGATATATTTTTCTTAGTCTGTTTTCTAAGTAATTATGATACTGGTAAGTGGTAAGATTCTTTTCTTTTTTTTTCCCCTAATGAAAGTTGTAACTGTGGGGCCAGAGTGTACATCAGGTAAGCCACTTGTTTTGCACATGAACATCACCAGGAGTAATCCTTGAGCATCACCATATGACCCTAAAACAAGAGAGAGGAAGGAAGGAAGAAAATGTCATTGCATTTTGGGGGGTAAGAGAGTTAGATAACTTAGATAACTACCCTGTCTATTGCAAGAAAATCTGTTTTGAGCTACCAGTGAGTTACTGTCTATAATTCCTGTAGAATGCTTTGTAAAGTGCTAATGAATGAGTATGACAAGTCATCTGCAAATTAGCTTGTTTTATTGGCATTTAAAAGTATAATCAGCATTATTTTTGTTGTCAATAACAGATGAATTTAAGTATTATTATTTTCTTTCCACCATGTGTTCATTCATTAGTTTTGATAGTCATTGCTTGTTTGAAGTGCTGGGGATCAAGGATTCTGTGCTTGGGAGCCATGAGATGTCTCATTGAGCCCAGCCGCTGTACCATGTTTTCCTAAAGGCCATTTATTTTTCTTTATGATATTTGTTGTTGTTGTTGTTGTTTGCTTTTTGGGTTATACCCAGCTATGCTTAGGGGTTACTCTGGCTCTGCACTGAGGAACTAATGCCCTACCCGCTGTACTATTCCTCCGGCCCCTTTATGATACTTTTTGATATATTGTTTTGTATCACCAGACTGTCATTTATGACAAAACATCTTCAAAGAAAGGCATTTGAAAGGCATCTGACTTTGAGGAGGAAAGATTCTGAGTGTGAGGCTGGGGAGATTGTGTAAAGAACTGTATTGCATGCTTGGTATGATCTGTAGATTTGATCTCTGGCACTGGTCGCATGGTACCCTCAATTACCACTGGGGTGGCCATTTGGGGAATGGCTCCCTGAGCACCATTTGGGAATTCCTCTCTTCTCCCACCCCACAAATTTGGTACTCTTTACTTATTAATAGAATTTCATATTTTAGGAAGTGAAAACTTGTCAAACCAATTGTTCATTTCAAGTGCTTTCCCTTCATGTTTGGAAGCTTTCCATTGAACTTTATGGAAACTTCTTAAAAGTTTATTGTTACATGGTTCCAAATGCTCTTGAATTTTCCATCTGAATTTTGCAAGCACAGGGATTAAAACATTGCTCAATTTCCTCATTGCTTGCCAAATACTTTCTTGGCAAATAACAAATGAACTTAATAGACAAGTAATTCCATGAAATGTGTATCATTTTGTAGAGCAAGTATAGTCAGTGGCCTTTTTCGATCTAAGCATATTACTTATTTATATTTTGATTTGCGGTCATACCCTGCTGTGATCAGACCTTACTCCTGGCTCTGTGCTCAGGGATCACTCCTGGTAGGGGTGCCAGGGATAGAAGCTGGGTTGGCCGCATGCAAGGCAAGCACCCTACCCACTGTACTTACCCCAAGCTAAGCATATTATAAAAGATACAGAATGGGTATTAGTGAAATTCTTTTGAGCTGGAGCGATAGCACAGCAGTAGGGCGTTTGCCTTGTGAGCGGCCGGCCTGGCCGAGCCAGGTTCAATTCCAACGCCCCTCTTGGAGAGCCCAGCAAACTACCGAGAGTATCTCGCCCGCACAGCAAAGCCTGGCAAGCTACCCATGACATACTCAATATGCCAAAAACAGTAACAACAATTCTCAAAATGGAGACGTTACTGGGCCCGCTCAAGCAAATCGGTGAACAACGGGGGAGTAGTGCTACAGTGCTATATCTATATAACTGCATGAAGATGGTAACTGTAATATTCAGCTTTTGTGCTGATCTAAATAGTTTTAAGCCATGAGAGCTCTCATTACAAAACTAATTTTTGTCTTATTTCACAAAGTTCCATGTTTTTGGTTATAATTCTTGATTTTGTATCTTTTTACATTATCCTCTGTACTCTGGGAAGGACATTGGTGTTATACCACTTCATTCTTTTGGTCAAGGAACCAGTTTAAATAGTAATAGGTTAGTTTAGCACCCTTAATATCTCAGCATCAGAAACTTTGAGGACAACATTATTCCTTTTTATTCATCTATTCATAGTACCACTAATCCAGCACAAACTGTTTTATTTTATATAAATAAAATGAGGACTTGAACATTAAAAATACTATTACACAATTATAACAAAGACAAATCTTCCCTATATTCCAAAATCATAAGATGCTTTCTGAAACCAAATTTTATACTTGGAGTTATGCTACTATATCTGTTTTACTGAGTTTGTCTAAGTATTTAACTAGTTTATAGTTCTGTTGTAAGCATTAAATTTTTCAAAGTATTTAAGTTACTTGCTGCAGAGGTAATCATATTATATATATATAAAACTATAAAATCAATATTTTGTAGACATTAAACTTAGTGTTGCATATCAATTATGTCTATATAAAACTTGAAAAAAACAAGTTGCTTTCTGTGTATTTTTGTAATTTGTAAGTTAAAATCACAGAAACCTAAGTCAATATGAAATCAAGTGGGATGGAGTTTGAACAGCAACAGTTAAGCAGTTGCTAAAACACTTAAACCAGTTTTATTTTAATAAATATCATGGGACTCCATTTTCTCTCCAAAGTAAAAAATAATCTAAACAAATGTAGAGAACAGAACAGTAATAACTGAGATTAAGTTTAAAAATTTAAAACTCATGTGGTCTTTGAGCTCCCATGACTTAATGCGAATGTGAAATCTTTTGGGAAATCATTATTTGTGCCCCACTCAGGAACAAAACATTATTCTGATTAAATAATTTTATTGAGACTTTGCTAAATGTTTTAACAGTGATTTTGTTCTTAATAGATATTTTCTGGAATATAGTTTAATCACTACGTACATATATGTGTATGTTTATTTTTCTTTTAGGAATTTCTGTTGCTGAGAACTACTTTGAAATAGAAGGAATGGCTAATTGTCTCCCATTCTATGGAGTAATGGATTTAAAAGAAATTCTTAATGCTATACTAAATAATAATGCAAAGGAAGTTTATGAATGTAGACCTCGTAAAGTTTTAAGTTATTTAGAGGTAAGTATTACTTATTAAGTTGACTGGGTTTGAAGATACTTGTTTAAATAGTGAATGGTTTCTAATTAATAACCAGTTCCTCTAAGTTTTGATATATATTCGCAAGAAGAAAGTATATTGAAAGGAGAGGAAAACTTGAACAGTTTAACATCACATACTGCTGTTAAAAAATGGTCATAAAACCTTTAACATTATTTCTTGAAGGCCAGGGAGGCAGAGCACTTGTCTTGCATATGTGAGACCTTGGGTTTGATTCCCAGCACCAGAAAAGAAATGCAGAAACATTATTCCTTGCGTAAATATTGAGGAAGAATCTTGTGAATGAGACAACTTCAGTGAAGTGCCTTTTTCAGAAGGAATTCTGAAAATTATTCAACCTCTGAGCAAAATACTTGCTTTAGAGGACTAGAGATTTTTTTTTCCATTTTTTTTTATTATTAGTGAAACACCATGAGGTACAGTTGTAGATTTACAATTTTTTGTGCTTGGGTTTGATTATACAATGATCAAATACTCATCCCTCCACCAGTGCCCATTTTCCACCACCATGGATAATATCCCTCCCACCCCCATCCCCCCCATCCCACCCTGACTCTGTGGCAGGGCAATCCCTTGTGTTCTCTCTCTCCTTTTGGGTGTTGTGGTCTGCAAAAGAGGCATTGAGTGGCAAACGTGTTCAAGGACTAGAGATTTTTAAGCTCTGATCTCTTCAAATGCAAGAGTAAATGTGAGATGGATGTTCAGTTCATTAGTTCAGTAGTTTTTGCATGTAACTAATGACTGAGTGTATTCAACATCATATGCTGAAGGAACTCTTCTTTCTCTATTTTGTACCTAGTTCATTTGTCATAGGTAACTTTTCATATATCTAATAATATATCTCAGTGCTCTCAATTCTGTTTGGTTGGTCTGAGTATCTGCCTTTATTTTAGTACCACACAAATTTGAATACTATCAGTTTATAGTGTGATTGGCAGCTAAGGAATACAGTTCACGCCCATTTTCTTTTCTCAGCATTACATTGTCTCTTCAGGCATTTTATGGTTCCTTACAAACTCTAGCAGCTTTATTCCAGTATTTAAATGGAATTTTGGTGGGCATTGCATTGACTAAGACTAGGTAGAAACAAAACAAACAATTTAAAGATTTTAAAACACTTGGGTAGAATTTTAACTGTCGGTTTTTTTTTTTTATCTGAGAACATGGAATAGTCATTCCTTGTGCTTTTTTCTATTTTATTCAGTAGTGGCTTAGTGCATAACTCTTTCTAGTTACTTAATGTTTTCGGACACTATTTTAAATGAGTGGTTTCCTTTTTAATATTTTTTGGGGAGATGGACACACCCAGTAGAACTGAGGACTTCTAGTTTTGTGCTGAGGGATCACTCCTAGTGGGGATCAAACCTGGGTCAGCTGCAAGCAAGGCAAAGTGCCATACCCAATGTTATGCTGCTCTGACCCCAAGGGTTTATCTTTTTAATTTCTCTTCTTGTTCATTGTTTGCTTATAGAAATGCAATATGTTTTTTCTGTATTGATTTTATAGCCTGCTATTTTGCTGTATTGGGTTGTTGTTTCTAAAAGCTTCTAAGTAAGTTATTATAATCTTCTGTGTACATTATCATATCATCTCAGATAGTGGTAATTCTTTACTTATTTAGATCTCTTGATTTCTTTTTTTGCTTTTGGTGAGAACATTCAAAAATGTGGAAAAAGTAAACATTCTTACCTCATGCCTGATCTCTGAGAGAAGGCACAATAGTGGTCAATTTTAACACCTTCATAGACATCCTGTTTTGTGAGAGTACAAACGCTCCATGGTTTAATTGGTAGCATTTTGTGTGTTAAAGAACCACATCTAAAGAAAAAAGTTAATAAAACTAATAATGTTGGGATTAATAAATAATTTTGCTGATATTATACCTCTTATTATAGGTAGGCAATAGTGTATGTAATTTTATATATATATATATAATGTAGGAGGGCTGGGGTGATAGCACAGTGGGTAGGGCATTTGCTTTACACACGGCCAGCCCAGGCTCCTCCATCCCTCTTGGAGAGCCTGGCAAGCTACCGAGAGAGTATCCCATCCACACGGCAGAGCCTGGCAAGCTCCTCGTGGTGTATTCAGTATGCCAAAAGCAGTAGCAATAAGTCTCACAATAGAGACATTACTGGTGCCTGCTTGAGTAAATCGATGAATAATGGGAGGACAGTGCTACAGTGCGATGTAGGAGTACTGCTGTTTATTCAGCCATTGATTAAGCAGATTGAATTGGGCATGAACTCCACATTACTTTTTTTATTCAGAATATTGATTTTATTTTATTATTATTATTTCCCCCTTTTTTATTGATTGACCGTGAGATACAGTTACAAAGCTTTCATGTTTGAGCATCAGTCATACAATCATCAAACACCCATCCCTTCACCAGTGCACATTTTCCACCACCAAAATCCCCAGTATCCTCCCACACCCCCCCGTCCCGTTCCAACCCTTCCCCTGCCTGTATGGCAGACAGTTTTCCCCCGTACTCACTCTCTCTAACTGGGTTACGTTTGATATTTCAACACCAGCCCTACTACCACTTAAAACTGCCCAAAACGGCAATGCTAGACCATTTGTTTTGTATTGGTTGTTATGGATAGAATATAATGTCCAGGAAAAGAATATAATATCCAGGAAATTCTGTGTGGATCTCTTCCAGTAGCTTTATAGTCTGTGGGTCTTGGCTGTTGATGAGATTAGTTGGCACTCGGGGGCAGTTTGTGGGTGTGACTGCCAAGCTACTGAAAAACTGGGGACCTGGGGGAGAGGCCCAGTCCCCATCCAAGCAGGCTTGGAGATCTTGGTCACGGGTTTCTCCATACCTGGGTTTTCCTGCTGGTCTGCTCTTGGGTGAGGTTCATCCTATCTGTATAAAACGATAATCTAGGGGAAAAAGAGACTTCTTTAGCACTATAAGAATTCTTCCATTTAAGGGAAGCTAATTAAAATGAATCTGAGGTATAGGTTGGAGAGATAGTACAGCAGTAGAGTGCTTGTACGTATGATTGAGCTGGGTCCCATCCCTGACACTCCACTTTGTCCCTCAAGCCTTGCCAGGAATAGTTCCTGTGCACCAAGGGCTGTGGTCATAAAACAAAAGATGAATCAGAGGCAGCGATTAAGAAAGTGAGAAAAGGATAAAACCAAGAGAGGGGTGGATATGAAAGTCAAGGATATGAGAGATTTAAAAATAAGTATACAGTATTACAGTCTCTGTAGCTGCTTGGAAACCTTCTTGTTGACTGCTTGGTAACCACAGTAACCTGGAACCAAAAGAAACACAATAGAAAAGAAGTGGAGACAAAGAACTCATGCCAGTGGTCAGAATGGGGAAGTGGTGAAAGGAATAGGTAGAAGTCATGCCTTTATACCTCGTTGAAGAAGTAGATTAGTTGAATTTGGTAGGAAAGAAAGCAGAAAATAAAAGTATTCTATTACAATTCTTTCCTTTTAAAGATGCTCTAGATGGGATTATATTAGTAAGCTGTAGGCAGGAGAAACTACTCTGAATTAAGAACTGAAGGAGAGAGAAAGTGAATGTTAAAATGTTTTAAGGTAAATTTTAGAGAAGTCATACATGGCATGAAGGAGTAAGGGTTATCTGCTGAAAGTGAAGGGGCTTAGGAAGTATTGAGGATTTTGAGTATAGAAAAAGCTATCAAAACTGTGAGAAGGAATAAATGTCACTTCAAGAATGCTTTTTCTAAACTTCATCATGTTGCCCAGTGCCTTATTACTTATTGATGCTGTGTTAATTTACCTTTTTACTATTTAACTGTACACAAGGTCATTTTTGCAAAAATAAGAGTTTCGTTTACCATATTGTTCACTGTATTTCTAAAACCTACAATAGCAATTAATAGTGATTAATAAATATTTGAGCAGATAAAAATATCAATCTTCTGTCTTCAGGAATTACTTGTCTTCTGTTTCAGGTAATATCTCATGAAAATTTATGTCTTTCTCTTCACAGGGAGAAGCAGTTCGTCTAGCTAGACAGCTACCCATGCATTTTTCAAAAGATGATATTCAAGATATTATCTACAGAATGAAGCAGCAGTTTGGAAATGAAATCAAAGGATGTGTTCATGGGCGCCCCTTTTTTCATCATTTAACTCATCTTCCAGAGTCACCATGATTAAATGTTTAAGAAAATCATTATTGAACCTAACTTGGTCATAAAATGTGTGATATTATTATGCTGTCTTTGTACTACCATGCATTTAACAGTTATTTTATGAGAACTCACTTGTTGCTTGTATATTGAAAAAAATTTATGAACTATAGAAGACTTATTTATTTTTCCCTCAAGAAGCTACCTTTGGGACTGGAGTGATAGCACAGCGGGTAGCGTGTTTGCCTTGCACACGGCCAACCCAGGTTTAATTCCCAGCATCCCATATGGTGCCCCAAGCATTGCTAGGAGTAATTCCTGAGTGCAGAGTCAGGAGTAACCCCTGTGCATCACTGGGTCTGACTCCCAAAAAAAGTGAAAAAAAAAACTACCTTCATTATAATTTTTAATGTCAGTTGGAAAATATCTAGTATCTTAGATGGTTGATGTACTGGTGCATATGACCTTAAGTATATCCTTCAGCATTTTGATAGAAGCCCTACCCACCAGCAGGCTGGTATTTGGGTTTTTTGAGAGGCTAGTTCAGTTTAGATGAGTCATGGCGATGAATAGGACTCTTCTGTTGGTGTAAATGGTCTTATAGAGACACCAGAGAGCTTGTTCTACTTCTGCTACTGTTCATCCTAAGAGGAAAAAGAAGGAGGCTTTCCATCATCCAGGAGGGGAGTTTTCACCAGAAGCAAACAGTTTGGGTGTCTTTGTCTTGAACTTTGGGCCTCCAGAAAATGAGACAAAATAACAAGTTTAAGTGCATAATCTGTAACTGCCAGTCCACAGACTGGTATCTAATCTGCAGGTATTAAAGGATAAAAAACCAGCAGTTCTAGCTGCCACTCCATGGATCAGTGTGCATGCAGGTGTAAAAAGACTTAAGAATATTAAAGTCACCGATCTATTATTTTGTTATAGTACTAAGACCTGAAAAATCCACTGGGTTTGTCCTGTACAGAAAGAGTTCACACAACACACAGATTCAGCTGGTGTATTTGACAGAAGTCATTGTTAGGTAGATGAGACAGAGAAAGAAGAAATTCAGAGCAACGTAGCTTTGAAACTCCTGTCAGTTATCTATGTGAAGTGTTATGGTCACAATTAAGGAATTATTAACAGAACATTGTTTCCCATGATCAAATAATATCTTTCTTTCCTCCCTCCCTCCCTCCCTTCCTCCCTTCCTTCCTCCCTTCCTCCCTTCCTTTCTCCCTTATCTTCCTTCCTTCCTTCCTCCCTCCCTCCCTCCCTCCCTCCTTCCTTCCTTCCTTCCTTCCTTCCTTCCTTCCTTCCTTCCTTCCTTCCTTCCTTCCTCTATTCTCTCTCTATTCTCTATTCTCTCACTGGTTCTCCATTTCCCCCTTTAAAAATAGGGATCCTTCTGGACTCATTTTTAATATAGAAACCTAAAGATAAAATATTATTGTATCATTCCTTTAATAGCAAAATTTTGACTCAATCTCTACTGTTGATTATTAATAAAAATATTAATGCTTATTTCATATTTACTTTCCTGTTCTGGATTCTGCCAAATGGTTAGAAATTGATGACCACAAACACATTATGTTGTGTGATCTAAAAGAAAAATTTTAGGATTGTAGGTGCTGTTGAGACTAGTTCATAGGTAGTGTTCTTAAGCACTAGGGACCGCGCTGCCATCAGAACTAAAACTCAATCCTTGAGAGTTACTAAGACAAGTGGTAATTGGGGAAGTAAGAAGCACGAAAGATTCACGAGGCTACTGTATATGCTGCTTTAAATAGATCAATTTAGGGCAGCAGCGGGTTTTTTTTTTTTATCTAACACGAGTTTGGGAGTGGGCGGGGCAGGCCCCTTGGCCACGCCTCCTAGCTACGAAGGCCACGCCCCTCGGGGCTGACCTCCCACAATGCCTTGCAACAGCTGTGGCTTCAAGGAACAAGATGGCCGGACTGGGCGGTGGTGATGGTGAGGCCGTGGCCCCCAGGATGGAGGTAACGGTTCGCAGCTATAGGCTGGGAAGCCGTCACGGGGGATTACGGGTAAGGAAACGAGAGGGAAAGGAGAACCCGGGATATTGGGGCCGGGGAGGACAGGAAGGAGCGACGCCCCTAAAGTGTTCCTGAGTTCCGCAGCCGCGGTTGGCTCTGGAGGGGAGACAGGATAGGGCTCCCCTCAGGGCCCCTTGGCGGGAACCTGAAGCCCAGGCAAAGCCCATGAGGCCTCAGCTCTTGAAAGTACTGGAAAACGCTCGTTGAAATTCAAATGGACAGACTTTGTGGACTAGCTTTTTGATTCAACATGATTTTTTCCCAGATTTTGACTTCCCTCTTAGGACTTGAGGGCTGTCCCACCTCCTACATTTAACTAAAACAGTGTAGTAGATCCGGCACCTTGCCAACTGAAAAACAAGGACACACACACACACACACACACACACACACACTTTAAAGTACGGAAGTGTTTGAGGCCTGATTTTTTTTGGAATGGGGCTTTTCCTCATGGCTTCAGGCCAGCCCGCATTCATGGATTTGCTTTTGTCCCTGAGGCCCTCTAATTCAACCAGTTTCATCCAGCAGAGAGTAGAACCTGGAAGTACTCAGTGATTTTCTTGCGTGCCCACACCTGATCTTAAGCTCCTAGTTTACACTTGACATGTTGATGTTTTCAAGAAGAATCCTTCAGTCCGAGGCTGGAGAAGAGAGTACAGCGGGTGCGGTGCTTTCTTTGCACACGGCTGGCCTGGGTTTGGTCCCCGGAGACCATCAGCAGTGATTCCTTGAGTGCTGAGCCTAGAATACTTAGCAACAAACACAGCTCTGGACCCAGGACTGTGGTGGCTTTATTTTTTTTTCTTTTAATTAAGGTCATGTTAATTGGCAACACAGTATGAATTTCAGGAGCATAACTTCACACCGGGATAGACGTGTATGCCACATCGTTCCCACCATCCAAGGCTTGGCTACTGTCCACCACTATCCAGCCAACCCCCAACCTCCCCTCTATTCACATCCCATCCTCCACCCCACCGTTGCCTTGTCTCCACACTTTGAGCAACACTTGTTTCTAATCTTACTGACAGACCATTTTTACTGGGGTGGTGATATCACACTTGGCTTTGAGTCGCGTTTCCCTCATGATAAGACAGTGGAAATCTTTGCATGTGTCTGTTAGCAATTCCTGTCTTCTACAATAAAATGTCTAGTTTTATCTTCTGCCCATTTTTGTCAGGTTTTTAAAATCCCAGTGTTTTTTTTTAAAATCACTGCAAATTAAAGGTCTTTTGTAGTCTTTCCTTGTAATAACATTCAAATATATCACTGTAAAGATTTCAAGTTTGTAGCAGAATAGTTATCACTCATATATTATGAAATGATTACTTCTGTAATTTCACATTTGTCACATCTGATGGAGCTGGAAGGCAACTCCTTGTGCTTGAGGACAATTCCAGTAGTGCTAGGCATTGAACAGGTTTAGCTGAATATGAGGCAAGCACCCCAAACGCCTGTTCTACTCCTAGTTAAAAAGCAAAACAAAAAGAACATCGCAGTGCACATTGAATTTGAGCCTATCCTATGTTAAAGTTCCCCTAACAATCTTAATCTATATTTTTCATCTCATTTCTTCCAGCTGATTTTAAAATGTAACATATTAAAGACATAAAGATAGTCACCCTAAGGTGTAGACAACATTTTCTTCAGCCCTTTCTAGATTAATTGGCTGAACTTAATGCCTTAAAATGCAAATCATATCTAACATCCTGTAATTTCATTCCTGTTTCTGTCTTGAATAATAATAAGACCTGAAGTGACCTCTTTAATTAGCCCTGTATGACTATTGGCCATATTTTAAAACTCTAAACTAGCCCCTTTTTCCATAAAATGTTATAAACTAATCAGGGGCAAGAGGAACAGCTTTCTTTGGTGGCAGAAGGGAGGGCCATACTCAGCAATGCTCAAGGCTTGCTCCTGGGTCTGCACTCAGGAATTACTCCTGGCAATCCCTGGGTACCATATGGGATCAAACCCCGGTTGGCTTTGTGCAAGACAGGCACCATACTGCTGTACTCACTCTGGCCCAAACAGCTTTCTTTAACTTACACATATTATAGAAATCACTATAACAAACTCCCCCACCTCCTCTTCAATTGTACATTATATACCATTTATTCAGTGATAGTTTTTGAGTGTCCCACTCAGTGCTGAATACTAAATAAAGAGAGAAAACATTCTTAGCCCTCTAGAGGAGAGAAAATACTGAGTGTATTCTAAGTATATTGAGAATATTCTGTTTGTATTGTGGAAGCATCGAGTGACCCACTCCCAACTTGGACAACCCTGTGCTTACAGAGCAGTATCTTAAGGTTGACAAAGAATTATCTGGTAAGAAGAAAGGAAAGAAGGGTCTCTGAGGCCAGGGCATTGCCAGTGCTTTGATTAGTGCAGGCCATTCCATTCTGCATCACTGAATCTTGAGGTGTGAATGGAGATTAGACTAATAGGCTTGATCTTAAAGGGTCTCAAAGCCTCTAAAGAGTTGAGAAATTTTATCCCAAGGATTATGGAAAATCATTAATTTTTTTAAGCTAGAAAGTACCCCCAAAATGTTTAACTCTTTAGCCAAGTTAAAAGCAGAGTAAGTTAGCAGGCTCCTTGAGAATTTCAACAATGTGAATGATCCAAACAAATAAAGACTCTATAGTAATAGACAAAGTCTGTCCAACCGTTGTTGGGCCATCATAGGTTTGGATGGGTTTTCACTTCAGATTCTCAGAGATGGTGCTGATATAGAATTTTTTAAAAAAATTTTATTAGTGAGACATCATGAGGTACAGTTGTGGACTTACAAGTTTTTGTGCTTGGCTTTCGTTATACAATGATCAAGTACCCATCCCTCCACCAGTGGGTGCTGATATAGAATTAAAGTTGAAAATTAGTTTCAATTTTGACTAATTTATGGTGATAATACATTAGTGTTTTAATGGATGATCAATCTTTTTTTTCCCTGCACTAAGTTAGTAAGATATTAGATAAT